TAAAATTAATAATATTAAATAACATATTGTAGGTTCACCATGTCTTTTTCATTTTCCACTGTCATTAGAGCTGCTGGGTTTAATTAAGCCATTCATTGTACCAAGAGCAGCAGAAATCTTTTCCTGAATCTCGATGAATGTCTTCAGATAATTTTGCATAAAAGCAATTTCATAAGATTGTTATCTCAAATTGTGTCTGCTTTAGTAAAATGCAACAATGCCAGCTTTTTTGCTCTGTTGCTTGTTGTTGTAATGTTGTGCTGTATTGTTGTGTTGTTGTTGGTGCTATTGTTTTAGTCGTTGACAGGAAATTGTTGCTGGCGTTACGTGCAGCACACATCCATCGCGTACGGTACGCGTACGGTAAGTGCATTTCAGGCGATGTGTGAAAAGAAGTTAATGTTGCATTTAATTAATGTTAATTAAGATTGTTATTATTACTCGTACACGCATTGTTTTTGACTTTTTAATTATTGCAATAAAGTGAGAGAATTTCACAGCGTAAAATCGAAATTGAATTAAAATATTTATTATGTCAAATGCATTATGCAAACGTAATTATTCGGCTGAGAGAACTGAACTTGAATGTGTAACACAAATCGAATTGGGTTCGGCTTTGACAACAGTATTCGTTTGAAGAGGGGAAAGAGAAACCACTATAAAAATGTTATTGAAATAAATTGCAAAAAAAAAAGAACATGAATTAAAAACTTTTATACAAATTCAACTGAAAATTGAAATAAAATGAAATGAAATTCCATCAAATGTATACGAACACTAAAAAGTATTGAGTTGAAAAAAGATATATACTTTTTATTTTTGTTATTGCTATTTTTATTTGTTCTTTTTATTTCTTTTGTTCAGTATTTTTATTTTAATTTTTGTTTTTGTGTTTTTTTTTGTTTTTTGCAAAATAGTAAAACAATTACGTACATTTGCGCTACCGTGCCACAAGCCATTATAAAAGTTTGTGGCCCAGTTTCCGTTTCCGTTTGCATTTGCTATTTGTGCCACTAACAAACTTTTGTGTAGCCTTTCTTCTTGTTTGCTCTTCCTTTGCCACTTTGTTTTCTTTCGCAATTTATTTA